CTTGCAAAGCGAGTGCTCTAACCACTGAGCTACAGGACTCCACAAGTCCAGTTATATAAATGCAAGTGTTGTTGATGTGAAAGGCGCTATACAAATGTAATTTGTTTTTGCTGGTGTTATAAACTACGCCATCATCAAACCCTTTGAGATGTTGCCCTGCGTGAAGGGCACTATATAAATGCAAGTTATTGTTTCAGCAGCAGCAATTCGGAGCAGGACTTTATCGCAAGGTTCATATTGCACGTGAGGCAGCAAATCACTGGGATCTGGGCAGCAATTCGCTCCCCAAACGCCCAGAGAAACTGGGACAAACATGGCTCCAGGTGCTCCTGGAGCACATTCAAGGCAGAGGGTGCAAATTGGGCTGGGCTCCATTCAAAGCTCCTCCTGGAAAATCTTGGAAGTTGCAGGAAAGATATGAAAGGAATAGAATAAGCGGGAAGCACAAATCGGAATTCTTGCTCCTCATCGCTTTTCAGCTGGGAGCAAAACGGATTCTAACTTCTTTTTACACAGTTTTGGTTGGATTCAGACACAACATTACTCACCCGCCCCCACACCCCCCACCTGTTTAAGTACTGTATGAAATGACACTCGCTGATTTACAGCTGTCTGTGAAGCTCCGGTGTGCTAACGGCTTCCTTGCCCTGCTGAAAGCTTCCTCGCAGGAACTTACTGTCATTTGCACTGAGCAATTACAGTTATGATCCAAAACACCCACAGACTGATTTGACACATGATTTCAGAAATGCTTTAATGTCTGTTGTCAACACATTCCCTCCAACTCTCACTGAATTCTCTCCTGAGGAATAATCAAATTCATATATATCTAAAGTGCCTCTCCAGAGGTCCAGGGAGGGTCAGACTCTAGACATCATTTGTAAAATCGCCCACAAAGTATACAGTCATTTCACTTTGCAGTATATTTCTGTGAAGCGCTTGAAACGTCTTGAAAATGTGAAAAGGCGCTGTATCAAATTCAAGGATTATTATGTTATTATTACATAAAAATATGACATGAGATGAACCTGACAGAGCCCTTTCCTTCCACCTTCCCCCATCCCCCCTCCCCAAATCTCAATTATCTATACTTTAAGAGCCTTGTGTGGGATGCATGTGGGAGAGGTAAAGATTATTTGATACTAGAATATCTTTCGCAAAGAGTTTATTTGAAGGATAATAAACAGTTTATTCTAAATCGCTGTGCCGTTTATTACTCTTTCTGTGCCAGAAGAGACAAAATGTTCTTGTCTTGCATTCCGGTTAATTTCCTGTTTGGGTTGCTGTTGAATCAAAACACTCTGCAGTGTGAGAATCGGAACAACAGTAAACCAGGCAGTAAATGCCGTACCCAATTGCTATAATTAAGTGAAAACTACTCGTGTGAGGTCTGTGGCAGGCGATGTGTACAGAGGAACTGCTGGGGGAAGAAAAACATAAAGATTCAGGGCAATACCGTTTTACTACCAACAGATGCTGCTGCTGTGCTTTTGAATTGCAACCAAACTAGTGACCTCTATTAATAAGAAAGCATTACTGCACGCACAGACCTGAGACCCTAATTCCCTTATGAAGCCGAATAACTTGCATTTGTGGTGTGTGTATTATATATGTATACATATATATATATATATACACACACACACAAAACGCATCTGGATAATCTGTGTTCATAAAGTTGGCCAGACCCTGTCAAATTCATACATGTGCAGGTGTATGGTGAGATTCTTTTGTGAGTGTTGATACAATCTGACTCCAATATCGCAGCAAACATAGTAACCGTTCCAGGCCAGAGTTTGACATTGGACTATCTGGTCGACCCATCCAATTTCCCCCAAGATTCCTTCGATAAGGCTGTCTCCAAATCTAATAGCCCTGAATCCTGAGCTGACAGTTCTTTTGCTGCCTCGCTCACAGCAGGTTGCTTGAAGAATTCTTCTCACTTCTTGACATTTCTTTATGCCTTGTCAACAAAATTGCCTCCTGGTGGAATAGAATAAAAAATTCAGAATGGGGTGGGGGAGGGCAGTTATCACAATCGGAGGAATCTCATGAGACCCACATAAGAATTTCAATCTTCTGCTCAATTGTGCAGGTTATACCCTTCACTGTCTGTTGATAAGTTCTCTCCATATATTTGCCATTTTATTGTGTTTTTTTCCTTTCACAAATACAACATGTCCTCCTCATTGAAATTCAACTTAGAAAGTCATAGGGTTCCATTTAAGTCTTTGATGCCAGTCTAAACTCCCTTAAGGTGAATATGTTGTCTGCCTGGATTATTCAACACTTTGCAGACAAGTGTGCCACTGTGCCTCCTTTAGAGAATGGCTTGGGATAGCTGATTTAGGCATTTGCAGAATACCTGCTCTGATGCCAAGCTTTCTATCTTGAGAACTCCAGAGCGAAAGCTGATATTGTAGCCTCAATTCTCAGAAAGGTATTGCCACAAATGAATAACCTGGCCAGGCTCTCGCTCGGCTCAATTGGTTGCACTCTCGGCTCCGAGTCAGAAGTTTGTGGGCTCAAGAACAACAGCAAATAACATTTGTATAGCACCTTTCATGTGGGGAGGACGTCCCAAGGCACTAGACAGTCAGGGATTTGGACCCGAGCAGGGATTTGGATCAGAGAGGATAGGCGTAGAAACTCACATAGTCTAAGCTAAAATTCCAGGAAAGTCCTAAGGGTGTGCTATGTTGTCGGATATGCTGTCCTTCACTTGAGATGTCAAAACCAGGATCCCACCTGCTTGTGTAAGTGAATGTTAAAGATCCCACGGCTCTACTTGAAAAGAGAAGGGAGTTCTCCTTGGGACCCTGGCTAACAAGCCCCACAAATAAAATTGGTCATTCACTTCATGGCTGTTTGTGGGACATTGCTGTGTGACCAGATAGGATCACTTAGTCAACGATACTCTCAAGTTAGACATCTGAATGGCGGACTGAGCAGGGGTGAGGAGACTCATCAGTTCTCAGGAAAGCCATGAGATTAGAAGGAGTCTACCACTCCTCCTCGCACTCACCAGGTAACAGACTTTCCACTCCAATAATTAATGAGAGTTGTAATAAGGATACCAACTAGCAGATGTACATAGGTTAGAATGGTTTCTATGAACGCATGGCTGTTAACTGATTGAGATTGTGTATTCCGGTCTGTAAACTGAGACAGACGGTGGGCAGTACTTTTAAGCTGAGGGTTGGACATGGTGTGTGGAGATGGAGCTTGACGCCCTCTCCTGTTCCGTGTTTGGTTATTTTTTTATGACTCACCTGCATTTTCCCTCTCTCCCTGCCAGTAAAAGTCTCCTGGATTTTAAACCAGGTCAGAGCAACGGGAAGTCCAACATTTTGAGTGAGTGAGAGAAGACCTTTTTCTAACAAAATAATAAACTACAATCAACAAAACAGTTTTGTTTTTCGCCTGTTCCAATAATTTGAAAAAAAATAATAAATTGGTCACTCAATCCACGACTGTTTGTGGGACACTACTCTGTATGCAATTAGCTGCCATGTTTCGCCCACAAATATACAGTCAATTCAATTTACAGTATATCTTACAAAGTGTTTTGAGGCTCTATATCAAATGCAAGAATTATTATTATTATTTCTGACACATATTTGTATTAAACCACAATATTGCCAAGGTCTGAGGGGGGAAACTTTGCTCACGTTTGTTGCTTTAGAAGAAAGGCTTTGACCCGGTCACACCCATAGCTCAGTCCGCGTCAATCTTCAACCCTTTAGTTTTTCGTTGGCTGCAAACCCATCAGAATGATAATATTAACGATGTTGCATCAACAATGCAGATGCCTTTAAACTTCCTCCAGCATCCATCCGCTGGTCTGACAGTAAACGACTGGTTGAGTTGCACAATAAATCTCACGTTTGAAAGTAATTCTCGAGCTCTTATATGAATAATTCAGTAGATTTAGTGAAATGAGTTGCCTCGTTGCAAGCCACTTCCTTCCTGTGTATCAGAAGGCTTTTAGTCAAACTCCGAGTTGCTATGCTGCATTTTGATGCTCAGGAAATCGATTTGTTCTTGTAGAGCAAAAACAAATGGCAAAGGTGCAGACTATTGGAAGGAAGCCTATTCAAAAGCCAAGAGTGTAGGTGGAAAGAAACCCAAATAGAACATGCTTAATACATCATTTGACTATGCCTTAGAATGTAATTGACAATCCCGAGTACCATAAGCCTATCCTCTCTATTCATTGCATCTAGAGGGAGATACACTTGTAGGTAAGAATGAGCTAAGCCTGTGGATGATCAGCCATTGGTGAGAGGTTGCTGCAGTTCAGGGCCAAGGAGGAAAAGAAATTACAACAGAAAGGATCGAGGGTGTCGAAGGATAAACAAGTGATTTTTACACTATTGCAAAAAATACTCCATCAGCAATAAGAGGTACCTGAACATGCATTATTGCCATAACAAATGTGGTTAAGAGTGAAAATTGAGATGGAGGTAAGAGGGTATTTTGCAAGGATAGACTGATATCAATAACACCATTTTCTACTCATTGGAAAGAGTGAGTTTGGTGAGCAGAATAAATTGTTTTCGCTCCGTGCTTTGCTTGGGTTATTTTCTCTCTATGCTGCTGTAGCAAAAAACTATAGACACTCCCTTCTCTATTCGAGTAGCACAACAGGATCTTTAACAACCACTTGAACAGGCAGATGGGACTTGGGTTTAATGTCTCATCCGAAGCAGGACACCTCTGACAATGCACCGCTCCCCCAACACTGCACTGACATGTCAGTTTTGGGTGTGAGTATGTCTTACATAATTCAGAAGTTGGTGTATAAAACTTGTTTGAATATCGCTGATATTGAGAACGCCGTTAGAAAGCTACAACTGGATGCCAATGATTCAAAGAGTTACTCCTCATCTCACTGTGTTGTCATTAGAAACCATTGACTGCTATTTTATACCCAAATCCTCTCGTACATCTCTTGGCATTTCAATCCTAATCTCACAACTCTGTTTCTCATTCTGCAGAATCCTGGGTGGTAATACAGAGGACTTTCATGCCAACTTCAGATTAAGACATCTCTAAGAATCCACAGGGTAAGAGATACAAGCTGTATTTGTACTATACATGGTTAGAAAGCCAACAAGAGTGCTAACATCTGCTGAAAGGAAAGCTGATTAATTTTCTCCATGCATGTTGTAGAGAGCTTCATGATCAGGAACCATTAGATGTTAAATATTGACATTATTGGATGATTAGGAAAATTTTAAAAATTAAACTTTTGCAGAAATCCCTTCTGTACAGCAGGACAGAAATGTTACTTGAGTTCCTTTCACCTGTAGACAACTCGGGTGCTGTTATAGCTTAGACAATTTGCTGCACAATCAAGTGATTGTAGAAAATGTATGTTAGTATTGCCTGCTCATGTTATTTAAAGAGGAAGGTTGTTCTGCTGAATTGCCAAACCCTTAATGTTACATGGAAATTATTTGCATACATACTGATATGTCTCAGTGAGTCTTATGCTTTATATTTGAAAGCTCTTGATGAGCAGTAGCCTGGGAGTCTTGCTTTATGCAGAACGCCCCTCAATGTAACATCACGAGACACTACCCCAGTTACCCTTATAAAGGATATCGGCTGCTGTTTATGAAGCCACATTAAGGGGGGGGGTTCTTTATCAGAGGTTTGCTCCTAGGGTGCCTTTATTTAACAACTCTCAAGCATGGGTGACAGTAGATGACCGACTAGATACCAGTCAATGTGCTTTTATCTCCTCTGGTCACATTTATACTGTCAGGCAACAATTCAATGCAATAAGCTTCCTCTTCAACTTTGAATGAATCATCTGTCCAGCAAAGTACTGGTCGTGGCATTGGTATTGGCAAACGCATAGACATCTCGTTTATTTGATATAAAATAAGCCATTGCTTAGTTGTGCTAATCATATGAGGTTCTCGGTTTTATAGTAAAGGTAAGGGTTACAGCTTTCCTTACGATATGTTATGCCAAATGTATGGAGTTGATGTCTCATAAGCATGGGAAAATGCTGGATAACCTGTTTCTTGAATGCTTTGTGCCATTAAATTCTTACAGTGTTGATAGTTGTAAATTGCCTATATAGATCTTGCACAATGTTGATTGTATTTATTATTCTATGTGTTTTATTTTACACACGCCTGAATGTATTCATTATCCGTCCAGTTGTGTTTTTTTTCTTGTTCGGTCCTGATAAGCTGTCCATTATCTATAACCGTTCTTGCAGTGTTGACAGCTGTTCATTGACAGCCTGGGATTATTTCCAGAGAATTGTAATTCCAAATGCAGTGCACCCAATTTCTCCCTCCACTCCCATCTATTTTGCTGAAACAGCACAAGTGCTAATCTTTATTCCTGTACGGTGTGGCCTGGCAAATCAAGCCTGACTCTCAAACAGAAGGTCGAAACGTTGAGCCCAGGGCAGCTTTCCACTTGAAATTGCTTGCTTCAGTCGGGTGAGTTCCACGAGTTTTCCATTTAGCCACGAGACGGAGCAGGGAGCCTTGCCTGGTCCACCCATGAGATCCAGACATCGAACTGATGGTGATGTGGAACTGGCAGCAGCCATGAAAACTGCACCACCCAGACTGTTCATTGTCCCAGCTGAAGAACGCATGGCAGTGAGCAGCATGAAGGAGAAAGTGCGGGGTGGGAGTGGGACAGGAGGCAGGAGGAATCTTTCTTAAAAAGGAACAATAAAAGTTTCCCTTCTCTGCACTAAGGCAGGCACTCAGATCCATACTCGCTTGAACTAAAGTGCTGTGAAACATTGGACAGGTCATTTTAATGTCAGCACACATTTGACATTAAGTAATTATTTGCTGAGGAAAACCAAACTCTCTTTTGGGACCCATGATATGCCATGTTATTACAATTCATATCATTTATTTTGTGCAATATCTCTGCACCCATTTGGGTTAGGAGCGAAAGATATGGACTGATTTACATCTATCACCCTCTCTCTCCCCCCACCCAACCCCCCCCCCCCCTTGCAGCTCGTTCAGCTATATCCCGACACTGTCTGAACACAAGCAGACATGGGAGATGGGTGGAGAATTGCACATCAGTCTGCAGTGCTAAAGAAACACTTTACGATCTGTACTTTCCAAGAACAGATAATGGCACTTGGGGTCTTTCAAACATTCATTTTCTGCTATTCATCTTATTTATTTTTTTTATTTTCACCGAACCACAGACTTTTTTTTTCTCTCTCTCAAAGGGTTCAGTGTTGTGTCTCATTCTTCAATCTCATTCCTATTCAGAAGGTGCCAAAGGTTCCAGGCAGGGAAGAATAAAAACTGTTCCTTTGGGAATACGCTACCCTGAGTAGATCAATACCTGACCCTGAATGAGGCTGTTTGCATTACAGAGATAGTTTAGTAGTTTTTTTTTCTGTAGAACCACTTTTAACGTTGTCGGAAAATACATTCCGCATTATTCAGGCAATCACACAACCAGGGCTGTTGGTGAGCTTTTGGCTGACTGACAGCTGAATAATTTAGTACTCATTTAAACTGTATTTCTGTTTGTGGCAAAAGTACTAGTATTTTTAGAACGAGAAATGAGATAAAGGCAGTTAAAACAAAGCAACCGACAGGAATATAAACTGTTTTTGTACATCCAAGTAGCTGCTAAAAAGCACATGCTTCATGACTAGCAGGACTGATGGTGACTGAATTTTACCAGCCCCACTTTTCAGTGGCTCCAGACTATATTGGTTGCACTGATTGCTTTACAGTAGGCCAGTTTCTCAGAATGAAGTGGAAGATAAATAGATGTGATGTGTCTTGCTCCATACTAACGGTGCCTTCTATTAGCTGGTAATGGCACATCATAGTGGGGTTAGCTGCAACTCATTGACCAAATATAGGACATCATTAATTCGGGCTAGGTTAATAGTCAATAAATAATTGTGTCCGATGTCAAAGGTTCTCCAGCAGCTGAAGAACAATGGAATATCCGAGCAGTGTTCCTCATAATGTTGAGCGTGATTTGAAGAGGGAAGATTGTAAAGTTCAAGGTGTCTGTCCTGTGCGATTGTGGTTAACCTGAGCCAAGAGGGTGGGTTTTTCTGATGGGAGGTTGCATCGTCTAGGAGGGAGATCACAATAACTCCTCAAATAGAAAGCTATCGGAATGCCTAAATGTCCAGTTTACTTTGTGTTTGGGTGGGCAGGGGTGGACCTATCCCTTTTTCCTCGGCTGCCGTGTATGTGAGGTTAGCAACTGTGTGTGGCTTCATTGACCAAAACAGAGAGAACGATCTTTAATTCATATATAGTCCAATGGCGAGGATCTAATTCTGATTGCTCTGGTCGAGGAGACTGCTTGGATTGATTGGTTTTTCCAATGAAGTTGAGTAATTGGGTAATCGGTGAGAAAAAGGAAGATTGGATTGACAGTTTTGAGATCTTTTCGCTGGCCGTGTATTGAGTATATTGGGGAGAGAGAGAGGGGGTGTGGGGGGCATTCTTTGACTTGCTGGTCAAAGTAGGAGCAAACCTTGTGTGACTCTATGGAAAAACTTCATGGATATTGGTCTTCCAAAGAAATGTTCTTCAGAAATTCCAATTTCATTCAGTACTTATAGGCACCTCAGGGCTTGTGGTTGCTGATTGTTCTCTGGTTCCAGTAGAAGAAGGAACACATTTTCCTATTGTATGTTGTGCAATGAACATGGAATGAGATCTTCTTCGTACATAAGGTTTAGTCATCCGGTGGAAATCCGTGGAAGCTGGAATAAATATGAGAAAAATCTCCTTTTTCTCAAAGTGTGATAAATGTTTGAATTAATCTACCAAAGCAAGATAATAGAGGCAAAAGCATTCAGTGTACAATTAGATGCCATGATGGCAGAGATAATGTACTTGCAGGTTTGAGATTCAGTGAGCTGAATGATCTTTGCTCATCCCTGACTTTTCCTATATCACCTCAGCAGTCACTCGGTGCCTCTGCGGGCTGTAGTATTGGATAAGAGTTGGAGCCAAGTTAATGTGTCACAGCATGCTGGAGTGTCATTGTCTAATTTTTTTTCCATCCTGCCACTTTGCCGCTTAGCCATACTGCTATGGAGAGGAACGCGCTCAGAGATGCTCTCTCTATAGCAATCAGCACAGAGCAACACTGACAAGGACTTGCACCAAAGTTGTCCATAAATCATCTGATCAAGGTATATACCAGCCCCTGAATATGTGAACATGTGTTTGTAAAGTAAGAATCCAGGTAACTTCTTCCAGCAGCTGTCATCTCAAGCCTCAGTATTTTCTCATTGGCTACTCGACAAACATCTGCCTTCAGTTTGATGGACTGACCTATAAAGCACAGCTTGTGATGTACCAGTATGCCAGCCAGCTTGATGTTCTAGAAGTCCAATGCCAAATACCAGGCTTATATCAACTGCTTAATCCAGGTCCTCATATGAAAGGCTTGGCAACTAGTCATGCTTGCTGTGCACTTAGGAACAATACGAATGTGCCTCTTGACCAGCCTTAGAAAGGCATCTCTTAGACAAGTTGACAGTTCCTGGCATTGATCTGTAAGACCCTCACTGTTCTCCACCTCTTCCCTCAGAGCAGTTTGCTTTAGGAGCTCGGCTTTAATACTATCCACACCAGCTGCCTTACCATTAGCAAGGCGACACAGTCCACTTCCTCCCAAGGGACTGATCATTAAAGCTTTCAATCTGTTCAGCACCTCCCGCCAGCTCTTCTACTCTCTGTGCAGATGGATTTTCACTATGGTCTGTTAGGTCAGATGCCAACTCCACAAAATCCTCCGTTCAGACTCCAAGGATGCCCACAAGGATCTGATGTAGAGGAACAGACTTGTCAAACATTGACACAAGTTCAGAGTTCTTTCCAGCCATAACTGATGACAGACTTCAGCCAGTAGTAAATAACATTTGGGGTTGTTCTTGTGCAGGTAGGACATTCTAATGGAGTGCTGTAACCCACTGTTCCTGCTTTATTTCCCCACCAACTCTCTTAGCCTCACAGATTTAAAATAGTTACCAAAAGAACCAGAAGGGAGGTG